GTGTGTGTGTGTGTGTGTGTGTGTGTGTGTGTGTGTGTGTGTGTGTGGTTTTATGTGTGTGTGAGTAGGAAAACGGACCACACCCTTCATTTTTTTGTGGCATGTGAAGAGTTACACGAGTAAAACACACATAATTAAAGCTGCTTTAATTTAGTTTGTCAAACTGTTTACGCGGTTTAAGTAAACAGCTTGTTCACATTCTCACATGATTTCAAATGTTTGAGATAAACCTTTTCATTAATTCATTTTTGCGTGTTTTTCTCAACGGGTTATTGGTTTAAAGTAAAGAAAAAAGTTTCTATAACTGTAAAAGAGTAAAAGTAAATTGTGCTCAGAACAGCTCATAGCAGAAATATCTTCAACATTCCTACTAATACATACTTGTATTATCAAGTTAATTTACATCAGCAATCCACCCTTAAAAATAAGACTCAAATAGAGGATGACATTTTTTCAGGAGTATTGTGGGTCACGGGATTCCCACATGATTGGGATGGGACAGGAAGAAAAGTTAACGGGTCCAGACAGGAGCGGGAACCAACCAATAGGACAAAAAAAAACTTTGAACAGGCGACACTATTTTGTAGTTTTCTTTCAATAAGCCTTCACTCTGGAATACCAGCCTTGCAATGCTCCAGTGTGTAAATGATGCTCTGAAGTCTGATGAGCTGCATGACATCCTGCTTCAAACGAGCTCGTGAGCTCAACCACATAGACTGTGAACTTCTTGAGGACGTTGTCCAATGTATAAGAATGCCTTTAGGCATTTTTATACATTGAGTTCTCTGCTTGATACATTATTTTTTTTTTCTTTTTTTTTTGTTTAAGCAATTTGAAATATGACAATAATGTCACTGCTTAAATGAAGCAATTGCTTAATAAGTTTGTAAAATGCAAATTTATATGTTCTGTTTGGGTTCATAGTTTGACCCATGTATTGTTGTTTTTTTATTTTTTGTTTTTACTGATTTTAAAGAGCTAGAAACAGGGACTCAGCAGCTGATCCTCCATAGAAAAACTACAAGGACCACACATTTCACATTTTCATATTAATAAACTGGTCCAGATGACATGATTTAACCATTTTTGTTGTTATCTACCTGGATTATTGAGCTTACAAACCTTTTTTTTATAGGGACTACAGGCCATGTATTATCTATTTTGTGACCTTTAGTGAAGGTTTTTGTTTGGATTAAGGCAATAAATGTCTCCCTATTTCACCACAGATGAACTGTTCCTGTTGCCACACTATTTGAAATAAAACTGCAGAACACAAAGTAATACAAAAAGGAATGGGTAGAAGATCAAATCAAATTCAATGTATTTCCTAAAGACTAAATGGAAAGGAAAACATGGGAGTGGTACAGGAGTGGGAGTCATTCTGAATGGGAGCAGGAGTCATGTTACCAGGAGTGGGACAGGACAGGAGTTTTTTTTTCCCCCTCTGTCACAGGATTGGGACGGGACAGGATTTTTTCTGTGGGACCAGAACAGGACAGGAGTGAAAATCAACTCCCGTGTCATCCTCTACTCTGAAACAGCCAATATTTAAAAAAATTCAATAGCTAATCTAGTTTTTAAAGATTAAAAAGGTGCACAAACAAGTATAGAATTGTTTTTTTGTGTGTTTGGCTTTATTTTAATATTGAGTAATCTTTCAATTAGCACATTTTCCAAAATGTAAACTAAGTTGATGAAAAGTACTTTCATTTTGTAAACAAGTAATAACTAATTTTTTACGTTTTATTTTTAACATAACATGGCAAAGATTACATGGTGCTTACAATGTTTTAAGAACTGTTTAGTTAAACCAATTAAAAACAATAAAGTCAGTCAAAGTGACAAAAATGTGTCAGTCTTGAGTGACTCAGTTTATTGTGAAAGAAGCAAACCGGAAGTTTTATTTTGTAAGGCTGGGAGCCGGAAGCTGTACTGTAGCTAACTGTAGTTCAACATGTCTCCCGCACAGGCTGGTTTGTGTCACTAGTAGCGTCCGGATTTTTCGTGAAATTACTGCGTTTTGTAAGTGTTGCCGTTACCGTCGGGTGCTAAATGTCGACGCGGTGACTGTCGATGTTTCTTAGCTAGCATTGTCCGTGTTCAAACAAGGTCAAACCGGACCGGTAAAGGCTTCGGTCGGCTGGAAACACTGCTACTGCTCGTTGTTGACCTGTTTTTCAGTTGGACCTGGCTCAGCCTCGGAAGCAGAAGGCGCTGCTAATTAGTTGGACAGATTTTGAGCCTTGTCCCCGCTTGTCCCGGCCAGTGCGTCTCGACCTCAGCCTATTTCAACCTTTATTTTGTTTCATTTCTAAATCAGATAGCTTGCTGTTTTGTAGCGGTCCAGGAGAACAGTAAACTGTGTCGTAATTATGGAACAAACCTCTCTTGACATTAAACTGGTCAAACTTAATTTAGGGTTAAAAAAGGCAAACTGTGAGCTTTAATTTAATTTTTTTTCAAAGGGTAATTCTAATAAATATACGTGGCTAAGCTTGATGCTAACAGTTTTTGAGCTAATGTGTTTAAAATTTAGAAAACATTAGCTCAACTGCAGAGACGCGTTTCTCTGCTCTGATTGGATGTTTGGTTGCTACGCAACCTGTGACGTATTTGATTTAAAAAATGTCGCGTAGCTGGAAAAATGCTAGTCGGCTATGCTAAGTTGCTCATTTTTAGCTTTGGAAAGTTTGAGTAATTTGACTAAGAATGAAAAAATAACAAAAAATTTAAACACAACCTTTAAGGATTGTATACTTCTGGTTAATATAGAGAAAAAGCATAAATATATTTTCAGTATAACTTTTAATATTCACAATAAACTTGGAGTGAAAGGTAAATCTTGTCTATCAAAATAATATTTGTGCTGTTACTTATATTTATTATTTTTTGTTATCTAAAACTCCACTTAATCACATTTTCTGGCAGTAAATATGTAGCTACACTGTGGTTGTAGTTTCCTATGAAGCCCCTCCAAGGGCCACAGTAAATTAAATTTGTGTTTATAAGATTCCATCCCCTCAGTCTTTTTAATCAGTGTGCATAGATTTACTAACAGACAATATTCTGTTTCAGATTAATACATCGTTTGGTTTCAGCAACAATAAAATGTTGGACAAAGTCTGTTTCTAAACAAGCAATCAAAACTTTGAAACGGCAAACATTACCTCATGTCAGCTGCAGAAAATGTGTTACAGACTCATTTAAATCAAAACAATTCAAACTCAGAGCTGGATGAGCGTTTATGAACTGATTACTAAACCAGTGATATTAGTAACTTTCCAAACTTTTACAACTTGGTCTGATTTTAATTGACAACAAAAGCAGATATCAATGTCTTGATTTATAAATATAAGGTGCAATTTAGGTGAAAACAGACATACTGATGTTACTCAATATTACATCCTTAGTGATTTTACAATTTGTGGAGAGTCCCTGAACTCCTCCCCATTCAAACAGAAAACATAATAAAGCACAACACCTGCTGCACAAAGACACCAGTGTTGTTGTGGCTCTATTAGAACGATTTACTAAAGTGAAATTATTAACTCTCCATAAAGAAGGACCGATTACCGGTAATCATTTGATATTGGTCACTTTTGAAAAATCAGAAAAAGTAGCCCACAGTTTAGTTTTTGTAAGTGAGAATGCTCTTTTAGAATTTTTTTTTGTCTCCCAAGTTCTCCGAACGGTTGTTAAGTATAACCTTTTTACATTAAGCAACTTCTATTTTATTTTTTTTTATAAATAAAAATATGATGTATTGGTCAAAAGTAAAAAGAAACCAGGAGTTATATATTTGTCATGGGCTGCCTTGATTTCTAAAGATCGGCCTTGGCCATAAAAAAGTTATATTGCTCAAACAAATATTTTTTTTGCTCAGGATTTCTGTAGTTTTCTTTTGTAAATCTCATCAAATAAAATTGAGGTGTTAGAAACAGACATGTCATTATTCTTGGCTGTTGTGCTAAAAAGTAACTTGAAAAGTACTTTGATGATTGACAGCTTTGCACTTATACTGTCACTTACTGGTAGTAATCCATCCTTTTACTACCAGTTGTAAAAATAGGAATGTTGCTTATAACGACAGCATTTCTTTAGATATCATAATTTTTACAATTTAATGTCTACATAAAACTTCAAAAACAACTTATTTGGCTATTAATTGTCATAAAAATATTTCCTTTTTCTGTGTGGCAGGTTAGCACGAAGCTAGCAGGTCGTGTCAGCCAGGACCCAGAACCACAGCAGCATCATCATCAATGGTGTGTCTACATCCGAGAGCCGTCACATTTTCCTGTGTCCGCTCAATGAACTATCTCCTCAGCTCTCAGCGCAGTGAGTATTTGACTACGCGTCTCTTCTCTGTGAGCACGACAACCGCTCCTGCAGCTCAAAGGCTTGTCTCGTCCAGGCTGCACATGTATGGCGTTTGCGAGGCTCGGAGGAGAGTTTTGCCAAGCTCAGCACCTGCTGCTCATTGTGGACAAGTGAACTGGGGGACACTGACCGGGCACGATCACTGCCATTCACACGTAGGTCGGTCACACAAAGGCTGGGAGCACCATAATGAGGAACAGTACTGGGGGTTGGATTGTCTTAATGTAAAAATAAGTTAAAAATATGAAATGTCAAATTTAAGGTCCATGTTTCCGCAGGTCCTTGCTGCCAACCTGTCAAACACATATGAGGACAAGCCAACCATCAGTCTGTGACCTGTGCTGGGAGAAGGACAGGCGTCGGTTACAGCCTGCGAGTTTCCTCTCCGCTGTCCTTCTTTTATTTTCCTCTTCTGTTCAAGTCTTCTTTGAATGGGCCGACAGATTGGAAACACTGGAAGTGAAAATTTAATTTAGTCTTTTTTATTTGGTCTCATTCTAAATCTATAAGATCTTTAATTTGGCCAAATTTAATTTTATTGCCAACATTTTGTTTACTTCACCTAAACACGTCTTCCCATAAGTCAAATAGAATTTTTTTTTAGTTAGAGAAGTTGTTTTTAATTAAGTGAAAGCATTTTTTAAACTCGAAGACCTTTTGCTGTTACATTATTCTTTTGAAGCTCAGGACTTGTACCGTTTTACTAACAAACCTTTCGAGAGTCTCAAAATGAACCGACCGGCTCCGGTGGAGATCTCCTATGATTGTCTGAGATTCCTCATCACGCACAATCCCACTAACCCACAGCTGGGAAAGTTCATAGAGGTATTATTACATGCTTACAGTTTTTTAAAGTCTTTTTTTTTTTACTCTTCAAAATGAACAAAAAAACATGTTGCATTTTTATTGTGAAGGATTTAAAGGCATATGGAGTCAACACCCTGGTGAGAGTGTGCGCAGCCACGTACGACAAGACCCCGGTGGAACAAGAAGGAGTACAAGTCCTGGTAGGTAACCCACATTAAACAGTGTTTTTATTTCTCCAGGAAGTAATGTCAGTGGAAATCCAGTCAATTATGAAGAAATTCTGTCAAGTGAGTAATACAGAAGAACCCATCTCCAACTGAAGAGGATTGAACATGGAACTGACCAAGGATGAGGAACTGGAAGGAAACCAGTTTTAGCTAAAGAAGACGGTCACACAGTTCAAAAGTTTTTACATTTTATCAGAGTGCATGCATGTTTGTAGTTTCAAATTTCCATCAAGATGCAAATTTTTGCTCGTTTTTGACTCTTAAGCACACATTTGCCGTGATTCTTCTTTAAATCTTATCACAGTGTTTTGAGTTTTCTTATCTGAACAATTTGATCACCATAAATCCACCAAACTGCACAATCCGGTTAATTAAAAAAGTCTCGTAAATCTGTGCGAGCGTGCAGAAACAAACATATTTCTGACTTAAGTTGTTAAAAGTTAAAACTTTCTGGGTGTAACATGCTGCCACAATGTTTTGGTATATAAAACAAAAATATTACAGCATGTTGACTTTGTTTTTATTTATAATAACTCAAGAAAAGCTCTCGGCTTGCTTGAGCTCATTATTTTGTAGAGATTAGTATTTTTTATTTTTTTGAAAATGAAACAGAAAGGAGTCTGAATATACTTTTTTTCACAACAATTTCCAGGAATGGGCAAATAATTGAGGCGAACTTCATGTTTTCGTCACTCTTTAAGACGTTAAAGGAACCCTGCAAAGTTATTAGCAGAATCTTGACACATTTCCAGCGTGTACTGGATCCAGGAAGTGGATTCCCGATCCAGCAGAATATTCAAATGTCCACGCAGATTCTCTGTTTACAGCTAAATATTGTGTCGTCCCTCCAGGACTGGCCATTTGATGATGGTTCTTCCCCACCTGAGCAGGTGGTTGATGATTGGTTGAATCTGCTGCAGGTGAAGTTCAGGGATGAGCCCGGCTGCTGCGTGGCTGTGCACTGCGTGGCTGGACTGGGACGGTCAGTATGAACTCAACGATACATCAACAAAGAAAGTGTACGCACACAAAAAATAAATAGTTGTATGAAACCACATTCTCATACATCCAGATTGACGTGGAAATGAGCACACGAGACATCGCTTCTATTTAATGCCCTGCACACGCAATTCTACTCTTTGCACAAGGAAAAATCATGTACATGTTTAAGAACAAGGAGCTTTGCAGAATGAGTTAGAGACGCTGTGCTGAATGAGGTAGAGGTGTGTCGCGACACGAGAGATGCAAGCTGGTGGTGAGACTGAGGTGTTACGAACTTCACAGTTTTTTGTATTTAATTGCTGTAAACAAGGGGTAGGATGCTCTGAAACAGGAAGTCGCTCACTTGAAACTGACTAGTAATGATGCCGTGGAGACAGGATGATTGGGGTGCACGACCCTTTATGTCAGAGAGCTTTAGGACATCCTGTACCAGCTTGTAGTTTGTTTACAACCACCTGTCGTTCAGAATGAATGCATCATGTGTGAACCAGATCACTTTGCATGGCGTGTTTGTGCCATATTTTAGTGCGTACAAAGCCTGTGTACATGAGGCTTCTGGTGTTGGAAAGAAACAAAGTTTAATCAGTAACTGGCCATTTGGATGAGAAAACGGTTTCATTTGATAAAGATGAAAAAGACAAAACTGGCAGAAACTTTGATGTTTTTTAATCTTTTGACACGCTTCCTGTCCTCAGAGCTCCTGTGTTGGTGGCCTTGGCTCTCATCGAATGTGGGATGGAATATGAAGATGCAGTGCACTTAATAAGACAGTGAGTGCACAGATTTAAATCTACGCATTTTCACTTTTTATTGAGAAATCCTAACCTCGATTTGTCTGTTTTTTTATTTGATCAGAAAGCGCCGTGGTGCTTTGAACGCCAAGCAGCTGCAGTACCTGGAGAACTACAAGCCGAAGCTATGCCTGCGCTCCAAAGACGCAAACGGACAAAACTGCTGCTTACAGTAGGAGTCTTTAATAACAAAACAAACAAAAAAAAAAACATGAAGGTGGTTGGCTTTTCTTCTCCTGTTTGGTTTGTAACTTCATTTGAACATGTAGCAGAAACTCATAAATGCTTAGCCAAGTTAAACCAAATGAAAAGCATTTTTTTTGGTTTTGTTTCGTCTGTGAAAATGAAAAACATCCATTCCAAAGTTTTCGATCAGTTTACTGAAGCAGATCCATCTGAGAGTCCTTGTTTTTGCCAGACCGTACCCTGATTCTTTGTAGCTTCCTACTTTATTTCAAATGCTGAATAAATAGTGGGCAGTTTGTGGTTCGTTGCACATGAATTCACACAGATTTTTATATTTGAACCCTTTCTCTTAAATAAAATGTGTATCAAAATGATTAACATGTGGCAAAAACTTCAAACAAATAAATGCAAATATTTGAAGAAAGGCCCTCAGTTTAAATCACATTTAAGTTATTCTGTATAAGAAGCTCTTATACGTCAAGACTCGATCTGCTTTATAATTGAACAATCTGTTTCTGTTCATAAATGTGAAGCTTCTTGTCTAAATAATTTCACCAAAGCAACAAATCATTGTATTAAAGATCAGATGATAAGAGTTGAACAGATTATTCTGTTAGGAGCACATCAAATCAGCAGTTTATCGTCAGTATTTGAACGTTTCTACCTCATGAGTGGGTAACAATCTGTGGCTGTTTGTCCTGTATCTTCAGGATTTGAATGAGGTCTGTATGATGGTAAGAAACGTTAGAGACATAAAAACAAAATGTCCTTAATAATTATTTAGGTCATCTTTGTGTTCTTGTTAGATGAAACTTAGAAAGATCTGAACTTTTAGTGGCCAAAGGTTTTAATTTTCCGGCTCTAATTCTTAATATACTCTAATGAATTCTTCTTCTCTGTGATGTTTTGATTTTTTTTTAGGTTTTATTTACTTTAAATCTTGTATCTCTTTGCTCTTTATTTATTGATTTCATTGTGTCTTTGTGAAATGATAAAAACAAGCTCTGTTAGTGTTGAATAATTAAAGTGGTTTAGTGTCGCACACTTTGCTTTTGTTGTTTTTTTTCCCCCCTACATCTTATTATTTATGTTTTCTTTTCCAACTTAAAACTGAGACCATTAATGCAGATGGTTTTATGTATATTTATAAAAGTGTTGGTCTGCATCGATGGTTTGATGTGACATGTTGCTCCGATTGATCGAGCCTCTGGCTGTGGTGAAGCTGTCACTTTTATTGACTGGCCTGATAACAGCCACACTAAAACACACAGCAAGGATCATGTTTATTAGCCTAAATTAACTACTTGTTTAGTGGGGGGTGGTGTCCTGCCAAATATATGAAGGGATTTCCCAATGCTATGGCAGCTGGCAGATGAAAATGCTCAATTTCAAAGTAAAATAAAATGAATATTTCTGAAGACAAACCTGTTAAAAACTAAAATGTAGATTATGAAGAGTATTTTTCTTTTACTGTAATCTCTAGAAAGTGTTTATGGACCCATTTTTATGCAACTAAATTATGGCAAAAATCTTATTTTTCACCTTTTGTGCACTGCAGGCTTAGTCTGACCCATTATTCAGCACGGGTCGTATTTTTCATATATACGTTGAATATATTAACATATTGTGTTGTCCTTATTTAGTCGTTTTAGTTTTTCAGCTAAATTCATTTTTGTTCCACAGAACTGTTAATTGTTGTAGCATGAATTCAAACCAATTTGAACAATAAAATACAAACATTAACTGCTAACCCAGTCCAGATGCTTTTGTCAATAAAGAAATATTTATATATTTTATGTTTATTTAAAAATAATTGTTGTTTAGGTGTATCCAAAAAAAAAAAGAAAAAGGAATGATTAAAAATTAATGCCAACAATCTGGGTTTGAGATCTGAGGAGGATTAGTGTTGGGATTTCATGACACCTAACTATTGTCAGTTTTGTCTTGATTTATGGGCACATTGTTATATGCTATTATAATATTGGTCATTAATTTAAATAAATTGGCAGATAATAAAAAAACAACTTTACAATATGCTTCTTATGAAAATGCAAACAATCATTACAAAACCAATGTACTATATGTATATAATTGTGAATATTCTGTGTTTTCACTAGTTTCTGGTTTTGTTGTGATAAAAAAAAACAAGTTAACACTGAGCAGATGTTGGGGATGTCCTGTTGGGTTTAGAAATTGATCAAATCTGTTTTCTAATCACAAGATTTTACCATATCAACAAAAATAATGTTTACAGAAGAACTGAGGCATGTTTCCAGTTGAGCAAACAGATCCAGCTGCAGCTTTGAGTGTTAGGTTTTTATGGTTTGGAAAATGCAACATAAAAAATGAGAATATTAAGGCCACACGTTCTTGGCAGCAGAGGGCAGTTTGGCGATTATCTGAATTTACAACAGCCGAACATGTCTAAGCTCGCTGTAAGCTAGAAAACATGTGCAACGTCGTTTTCAATTTTTGATTTGAAGGCTCTCATTTAAAACGGTCAAAATATGTAAACACTGAAGAATCGAGAACAAATGTTGAATAATGACAAAAACATTTGAAAAGCGCCCACTCTGTACGCAAAAGTGATACAAATACCTGCAGTTTTTTGTTAATAATACAATATTTTAATGTGAATTTTGTTTTCCAAATGTTACAGAAAAGATTTCTAAAAGTTGTGATTTATTGAAGACGGCTAAATTTTACGTTTATCTTAGGCAAACTGCTGTTTATTACAATTTTTATGCTTCATTACATCCTCGTGGCATATTATTTAAATAAAAACAATGTTATTATGATAAATTTGTTTATATGTGCCATTTAGGTTCCTATATTTTATTCTGTGAATTATTTGCACGTTTGCTTTAACTGGTCAACTTTTAGTTTATTATTTAGTGGTTTATTTTAGTATTTATGAAGAGCCAGTCTAAATGACTAATTTCCCCTCACAACCGGCAGGGGGCGCGCTTTATAAATCACATTGATTAAAGTGTATTGGAAAATATTATTTATGAAATTTGTGTTCCGATTTTTTTCTCCTCTAACTTATTATATATTTTTTACATAAACTGGATTTTTATTCCATGTAATTAATGAGATTTTAGGCATTTACGAGCAGCCACATTGAGTTTGAAAGGCTGTAATGTGCCCTTTCAGCCGATAGGGGGCGCTCTAATTTAAAAAATGCGTTGACCGACGAGCTCTACAAAACACTTTTTTTAAATTAAAAATATGACAATAATCAGGAAAATTGTTTATTATAAGAACTTAAACGAAACCTTTAGTTGGTTTATGATCGGATGAAGCGGAGGAAACCGGGGGGTTGGCAGATACTATGTGACCCGGTTCATCTCGCGGATCAAACGCAGGAATATCCGCTCTTCATCACCGGAGGGTGCGATCAGAAATCGAATTGATCGATGAGAGCAGGAGCCTCATTTATTCCTGCAGTTATTCAGCTGCGTTTCTCCCCAGAAGGGGCCGGTCGGTCTGTGAAAGAGGAAGGAAGGAAGAGGGTGGGCTTCTTGTCAGGAAAGTAGAGAGAACCTGAGAGGAGTTTGAGATTTTTTTTAAGCGTCTGGAGCTCTGGCAGGACTCGCGGAGAGAAAGAAGAGGAGAAAACTGTGACTAAAAGGACAGAAAATCACATTTTAAAGGAGGGAGAAGAGGGAAAAGGCTGGGAATTATTGTTTTTGTGCAGCCAAGAACAGGACAGACTGAGCTGAGCTGCGGGAATGTTACCGGTAAGTTTAGTGTTTTTTTATTTCATTGATATATTCCACTGCTACCAACAAACTCAGACATGAGCATTAAAGATAAAAAAAAAAACTAAGTCTATAAAACATAAATTTACTACTGTAAAACTGAGTTAAATGGTTAAAACTGTTAAACATAAATAATTTATTACACAAGTAATTATACTTTTAAAAATTCACTAGCCCATTCTATTTAAGTTCCCGCCACTGAACGCTAATTAGCATTTAGCATGCCTACTTAAAACTGTTTTAACTTGGTGATTAAAAATGTAAATGCTGTTTTATTATTGCGTTATGTTTAAAATAAATGCTGAAATACTATGAAGAAAATTAACAAATAAGGGTTAAGGCTGTGTGGCCAAGGAATGAACCTCACTTTTTTTGGGGCCTCACTTTGGAGGAAGGACATTTTTCAGGCCCCTTTTGACTCAAGTGAATCAAGTTTAGTATATGGGGAGCATAAAATAATTATATAATAAAACTTTGTAGATGTACGTGATTCTCAAATGCTCATGTAGTAATTTTGTCCCAAAAAAATTGATATAGTTTTTGTGACATTTTGTCTCTAGTGTTTTTTTTTTAATTATTATTATTAATTTATTTACCCCAGCAGCATTGTGCTGCAGTAGGTAGAGCTGTTGCCTCTCAGTGAGAAGGTCATTGAATTGAATCCCAGCCCTTTCTGGGTGGAGTTTGCATGTTTTCTCCATGCATGCGTGGGTTTTCTCCGAGTCCTCTGGTTTCCTCCTGCAAAACCAAAAACATGCATGTTAGGCTAATTGGTTACTCTAAATTATTTGTGAGTATGTATAGTTGTTTGTCTCATTTGTCTCTATGTGTCCCTTTGATGAACTTGCAACCTGTCCAGGGTGTGCACCGCCTCTCGCACTGTGAATGCTGGATATTGGCACCAGTGACCCATGTGACCCAAAAAGGAAGAAGCTGGTAAAGATGATGAATGGATGTACATATTTTCCCCCAAACACTGAAGAGGTGGTTCACATTCACTCTTTACACTGGTAGTGTCCAGTCTGGATCCTGGAGAGCCCTTAACCTACATGGTTCAGATGTTTCTCACACCTGATTTGAATGGAAATATAATTAACAGGCTTCTGTAAAACTTGAGGAGATGCTGAAGAGGTATTTAAACCACCGAATCAGGTGCGTTGCAGCAGGGAAATGACTAAAACATGCAGGACGGTGGTTCTTGAGGACCAAAATTGGACACAACTCCTCTACACTGTTAGGTTTGATCCGTCACAGAAACATGTCTGAGTGGAAACATATGAAGATTGGTTCCACTTGCAATTTTTAGGCCTGAAAATAAAACAATGTTAAAAAACAATTATTGCTGCTGTTGTGATCTTATAATTTCCTGCAAAGGATCAATAAAGTATCCATCCATCATTTATCCTTCCTGTACTGAGAATCACAATGCTAGTCCATAATTAGATCTTGAACAGCAACGTTTCTTGCCATTTGTGTTGTTATTTGTGCTTCAGCCTTCACTGTCAAACTTTTTCTTGGTGTCTCTGTAGTTATGAACTTTTTAAATTATATATATTTATATTTTCTACAAGATGTTTTTGTTCCTCTGGCTTCAGATTTGTCACACGATGGACACAAGTTCAGCCAGTCATACTTTTTTGTACTAAAGAGCTTATTTCAGCAATGCTTTGAAAATTTCAGAGCTCAGTGAATATTTATATATTTTGTAAACAATCTATTAAAATAATATAGTCAAGGTGAGTGAAACTGTTTATTATTGTTTTTTACCTTTATTTCTGCAGTCTTAATGTGAGAATTTGTTGTTTTATTTTTCATTTTAAGGTTGAAACATGTTAAGTTTTGGACCCCAGAGTATTTTCTGTTGTTTATTATGTCAGGAAGTAGCCAACTAGCTCATCCTTCTAATCTCTAATGGTTTCCTGTCAGAAACTTTAGACAGTATTGTTGGCAGTTTTGTTCCTGTGGCACTCGTCCTTCAGAATCACTGATGTTGAAATCACAGACTGTTCAAAAGACAAATATGATCTCTAGAGGCTGATGGAGATCTGATGGCCCTAAGGCAGCTAGATCTGTAGGAATGTCCCTGGTTTTCACATTGCTTGACTTATTTTTAGTTTTTTTCCAAGGCTGTACTTGTAGTACTGACAGCACTTTTTTATCTCTTTAACATGGATACACTTAAGGTCTGAATTGTACCCGATCTGGTGTTTTTTAGGGTGTTTTTCAAGGCCAAACATCTGCATCTCATTGTCTACCCATTCATATCGTCTTTACTTTTGCACCTCCATCCATCCAGCCTTTATCTTTTTACCCAAGTCTTCCTCTTTGGGTCACAGGGGTCAATGGTGCCCATATCCAGCAGTCACTGTGCGAGAGGCGGGGCACACCTTGGACAGGGATCAAGTCCATCACAGAGCCCCTTTGTTCTTCATAATAGGCTAAAAAACTATGTAGTTGTGAGGTAGACAGCATGGCTCTGTGAGTGGTTGAGTCACCCTGAGTTTCTTAAGATCCTGGATTTGGCTCCTTGGTCTCTCCATTACTGTATATTCAGAGATGCGATGGTCCTCAAGGGGTCACGGGAGTTTGTCCAACCAGTCTACATGCATTTTGTGTACTTGAAGAAGGCATTCAACCATGTTCCCCTGGGTGAGGGGTGCTTTGTGAGTATGGGATTGGGGTCCAGTCCTACATACGAATCAGTTCCTAAATGGTGTGAGAGTCTGGTTCACATTGCCGTCAGTAAGTCGAACCACTTCAGGTTGACAGTCGGACTCCACCAGAGCTGCCCATTGTTACGATTCTGTTGCCGTTATACAACTTGTTCTTGGTGCAGCCAGGATGCGAAAGTGGTGCAGTTCAATGGTCTCAGGATTCTGTCTCTGCTATTTGCAGATGATGTGGTCCTGTGGGCGTCATCATGCTGTGAACTTCAGTTCTTACCAGAGGGGTTTGAAGCCAAGTGTAAAGCAGGTGGGATGAGGATTAGTACCTCCAAACTGGCCATGGTGCTCAGTCGGAAAAGAATGGATCGCCCACTTGGGGTTGGGATCGATGCAGCTTCAGCAGTATCACAGACGTTGTACTAGTCCATTGTGGTGATGAGGTAGCTGAGCAGCAAGGCAAATTTCTGTTTACCGGTTGGTCTACTTTCCTGCCCTCACCTATAGCCATGAATGCTGGATGGTGACAGAAAGAACGAAAGTTCAGATGCAGGCAGTTGAAATGAGTTTTCTTCGCAGGGTAGCTGGACTCTTCATTAGGGATAGGGTGCAAAGTTCAGTTTTCCAGGAGAGACTCACAGTAGAGCCGCTGCTCTTCCACATAGAGAGGAGCCAGCTGAGGTGGTTTGGACATCTGGTAAGGTTGCTCCCTGGGCACCTCTCTAGAGATATGTCCAATTGGGATGACGCCGTTTTCACTGTTCGCATTTTAACATCTTAACCACTTTAAATCATGCATCATTTTCAGATCTAAATATTGAGTATTGGGAACAAAACTTTTCCAGCTATCTTTGCAGCTTTTTGCTAAAATGTGATATCCGTGCATGTTTCTGTAGAGTAGGAAGCCCTGCACAAGCGCAGTTAGAGTCTGGACTTTGAAGATAGTGTAATCCTAAAATGAACGAGCTTTAGTATCCCAGTGTCCCTGCTGTCCTTCCTCTGTCAGAAGCCATTTCTCTTCATCGCCCTTTCTCTCACACACACACATTCGCACAATCTCAGAAAACACTACAGCTCTTTGTGGTTCGGTTTGGCTGCTGTCAGCTGCAGACAAAACACTGAAGATATAGAGACGTGTTTACGGCTAAGCGAGGGGAAGACAGAGGGAGAAACAGAAGGAAACCGCTGCCTTGATCTTTGACCTCTTCCTGCCTTTTTGTTTTAATCCCATAATCCAAAAACTCAGGGAGTTTTAACTTTCTTACAACTTCCAGGCATTTTATATGTACTTGTTTAATTTTTCTGTCTTAAAGCAGCCCTTGATGTGTTACCGTCATAGCTTTGTACGATTCAGCGATTGTTACAGTAAATGTAAAATGGAGCGTGACATCATCTGCCAACCTCCTCTGTAATTTTAAGTAGCCAACATGTATTTTATTGGGCAGAGAGCGTTGCTGCAAAGCTGTCACTACCTTCCTTTTCCAATGACAACAGATAGTGTGTCAGTGCCTATATTTAACATTTGTGAGCATTCACATCATTGGGTGGCAGCTGTTTGAACTGCTGTGTCTCGCCTCTGGACATTTAGGCTGTCAAACATGGACAGTACAGAAAAAACATTCTTAGGTGTTCTACCTTTAATTTTAAACAAATGATCAACATGACTGGCTCAGTAAGACAACAGAAATAAAATTTAGATTATTGGAGCTATGTGCTACTTTTGTTTTTGCAACTAGGAGTGTTGTTTTTTTTAAATACATTGAATAAAATACTTGGCTGTTCTCTTCAAATTTAGGTTTATTGTCCTGGTAAATATAGATTTCTCATGCTGCTTCTCAAATGTGCGAGTTAATTGTGAACTTGAAGCCGAGTTATAGTTTTCACACACTGTTTTTAAAAGTGTGTGTGTGTGTTTGGGCGTGATCACATGCGGCTGTGGTGTCTAAAACAAACTGTCTTCAGCTGTTACTGTGTCGAACAGCTGCCAGCGTTGGAACTGGTGGCGCTTCTGAGTTGTCCCATGTCATCTGTTTTTGTTTTCATTCATAAACAACTGTCAAAATTAAAACTTTTTCTTCTTCAACTCCAATTCCTGTCTTAAGAGGCCGTTTGAAGAGTTCACTCGGGTTTAACTGCCCAGAAAATGCTAAGCTGACCGCTTTTTAATTTACTATTAGTACTGCTGCGTATCTTTCTCCTCATTTGAACTTGTAAATATCTGCTGTTTATTATTTAAGCTGCAGTAAAAAAATATGTCTTCCTTCACACCCACGTCATATTTATCTTTTCACAATGCTTCATTTACTGAAGAGCAGA